TACTGTACATGTATGTAGCACATTTCCACTGTAGCACTTTTCTAAGACGGATCTCGTTCTACAATTGAACCCATAGTAAATTTAAAACATTGAAACGCAAAGCTATTTTACACATAGAGTTAAGTACCAGTTGAAAAATGTGTCTAACTGTGAGATTCATACAGTGAACACAATCATCACAAATGTTTAACGCCAATTCAACTACCTGGTATTGACAATCTTAAGGAAAGTTGATTCAGCTGACGGGTCACTCTGAGCTGCATAATCATGGTTTTTGCTGAAATTCCACCCATGAACCTGAAATTCTGGTATCATATTAATATAAATTTGAAATGATGCACGCCATTCTATGCAAAAACTTTTAAAGAATATTATATTTGTGGTTACTTATGTGACCACCTTGATACAATTCTTATTTTCATGTGAAACGTTTAATGATATCTGATACAGTCAAACCTGTCTATAGTTGGCCACCCATGGGACTTTGAGATTTTGGCCTTTATAGACAGGTGGCCTTTCTATACAGGTTCACTAATTTATTCATGAATATTAATTTGGCATTGAATGAATCACTCAGCTTGCTTTGCTTAGCTATTTTGAATTTGTATGTTTCTTTTAATATTTATTTTGTCTCATAACTGTTCTAATTAGTCGGAATGTCCCTGGGCTATAGCAAATTCTTTATTTTTTTTCAAAAAATCTTCCTGACCTACCTCACTTGCAAAATCAAAGATTACTTTGCGCAATCGAAATCTGGACGACTTCCATGTCATCGTGCGTACTGCTGCAACAATAGAAACCTGTGAAATATGCCTGGAGACTTTGGCCGGAGAACTGACGTCAATTTAACATCATTGTTAAAAGCATCTATTGCTACATGTACCGAGGCAGTAGCGACAAAAAAAAATTGTTGAACAAATTTAGTGGACAACGAGACGATACTGCACACATATTCCCTCACAGTGATCGATACAGTAACGGAAGCGACTCTTCTTTTTGACCCGAGTTATCATAAGCCCCGAAAGAACAAGAACGCACATGCGCAAGGCTAGTTGGCATAATTTATTTGAATGGATAAACAACAGGCATGGCCGTTGAGTTGATTTTTTTTCTTATGCGTATTTGTCGATATTTATAGGAGTTCAAAGTGAATAAATATCGATACTAAATAATGAGTGAGTTATGTTTTTTTTTGGTAATCAGTTCGATCTGGGATTTACCGTCGGCATTCCGATTCACCCTGGCAGACTGTGCCCGGCAATTCACAAAATGTTTGCGGGTCGTCATTGTTGTGGTTGCTTGATTCATTAAACAAAACCCCAGGTACAAAGCACTTCTGTCCAAGTTATTCCTGTGGTATACATATTTCAACAAAACATTAATGACAGCATGTTTTCATCAGGACATTTTCAAATTTTTAATTATGTTTTTGGCGTTCCCAGGCTATTGGTACGGTGTGTTGGCCGTACGTGGTAAACTGAATAAAACATGCTAACTTTGTCCTTTGTGATCTTTGGAGCTTATATACTAGTAGTTGTCTGAGGTTTAAAGCAGTACTCTGCAAGACATCCGGGAACTATTTCCGTTATATGCAGTTCAACTGATCACTGTGGCCGCTGAAGCCTGGCCGTTGGCCGCATTAGACAGGTGGCCGCTTATATACAGGGTGTTTTACATGTAAATTTTGTAGGGACTGTTCGGTTGTGACCGCTATAGACAGGTGGCCACTGTATCCAGGTGGTCGTTAACACAGGTTTGACTGTACTTGAATTGGACTTGAATATTTCTGTTTTTAGTACTACGAGTATTTACTTTTAACTTGGAATCATTTCGGAATTACTGGTGGTCATTTCAGTTCTCAACTTTGCTAAATTGTGATACTTAAATGGAAAGTGTGATTTCATTCAAACTTTGTATGAGGATCATACATGTTGGGTTACGATGCATCTCTTTTTTTTTTTTTTGCGATTCTGTTGAAAGTTTTTACACAAGTACTATACTCAAAGTATCACACTGTATTACATACAGTGTGATACTTTGTGATTTGATATAATTTCCTGAATCCTAAACATCCCAAAATCGCATTCTGTAAACATGTCAGAACCATTTCTCGGACATGAACAGGGCTATTTAATACAAACTTTGTATGAGGGTCATGAGTTATGCTTTTTTTGATACAGGTGCACGCCATATTTTTTTTAGATTAGAACAAAAATTGCCGACATTCATTTTTTTGTTGTGCTTTCCATGATAGTTTCTCAGTCTGTAGTTATGATTTTACTTATCGGTCACATTTTGTCAATCAATGCACTTCCATGATACTGTATTGAAATTGATATACAATGGGCCCTTTCTTAGGCATGTACATGTGACAGAATGCAGAGACAATTAATAGTAAAATCAACAAAGGAACTGTGCATTGTCAAAGCCTGTTTTAAATGGTTTTCAATCACAGGTTTTTATCATAAGAACACTTCAATATAATTAGAAAGGTAACCATAGTTTTACTATGATCTTGCAGGTTTATACCAGGAGCTGGATTAGTAGAGAAGAAGACTGGTCCGTCTGTTGATGATGTGGCCGCCATCAGAGTATGTATTACCTATATTAGGCCAAATGCTGGTCGATCTTTCCTTTCCAACTACTGGTAACTGATAAGCCAATGCACAGCGCCCTCTAGTGGTGGATTGCTTATACCTGCAAAATTCATGTACTAACATTTTAGAAAGAAAAAAAATTGCTTCCCAGTCTTATTTTTGAATCATATTGATCAGATTTTTGTTGTTGCAAGATCTTACCTTCATTCATGACACATGTATATCATGCAATTATCCTTTCTTTGTTTAGTGATTAGTTACTCCACAACCTTATATCCTTGTGAACCCAGAGATATAATCTGGAAACAGCTGAAAACATGTTAAATTTAAACGGAACTTCACACCTGCTTATGCAAATTATCTATCTTTTTTTTTTTCATTTTACTAGGAAAGACAATAGAATTGTTAGCGTGTTATGTTATGCAATGCTGACATTGTTTTTCCCTTTCATTTTGATTATCCATTGAGGTTTTCCGCAGGAATATGTTTATGAATGAATGCCTCAGTTTTGATCACCAACATTGTAGTGCAACATTTACAATGATTTCTTCATTAATTTTGACCAAATGGACATATGTTCTACTTGTTTTGATTGTTTCTCCAAAAATTCGAATCAAATTGTGCATGTTTACTTTGTAAAGTGACTAACGATGACTTTGACATTCAAGGGGTTAATGACTGTATTGTTTACACTGCTTTTTATTTCATTGTTAATAATAATTAAATTTTCTTTGATTGCCCCTTTATTATTATCAATCTTGTTTTTCAGGAAGCCATTGCTAATGCCAAGACACTTGAGGAAGTAGAACGATTGAATCAAATGTTACGAACTGGACACATACCCGGCAAAGATAAGAGAAAACCTGATAAGAAAGAAGGTAAAATTAAATGACCAAACACTAGCATTTAAATACGTTTGACATCAAAAGTATTGAATTCACTACTTTCATGTACTATGTTATGCCATCTACATCTATAATGGTAAAGTTGCAGGGTTCTTAACAAATCTTTTATCTGCAAAATGCAAATAACTTTATATGCAAATTATTTTTATGCAAATTCATTATATGCAAATTTCTATATATGCAAATTACTTCATATGCAAATTATTTGAAGACCTATACCTATTTACCTCCATGATGACTGAATACTGGATTATGCTAATTAGTGTCTCATATTTTGGACGTAATAAACATTTATAACAAGCCGGTAGGCTGGTTGGCGATCGCTCCGCTCAAAAAAAAGCAACATGTTTTTGGCTGTTTCCATAGTGTGACATAAACGTGAAGCTAACGTCGGTTTATAACTAAATGGGCAAAGTTCGCAAAAACCATTCAGTCTTTAGAAGTCACTTAGTTTATTACTAGGACGTATCCTGCTGTTACATTTATTATTTCCAACCGTTTTGCAATAGTATTTTCTAGAATGAAGGTCGCATTTACAGTTCATTCAAAGTTGCGTTGGGATTATGTTGATACAGTGTAACAATGTCGGCGCCGGTGATCTCTTACCAGTGCAAAACGTAGCCAAAATAAAAAGCATGATCATTTGAACACTGCTATTACAAAACTGGTAGGAGGTAATACATTTGGGGCGAAAGTATTCAAAACTCAGTTTTTGGATGTTGCAATGGCAGTGGTGAGCCAGGATTTTTTTTCCAATTAGTGACGGTATGACCTACCTGTGAAGTATGAACAAAATCAGCCGAGCCGAAAAAATCACAGGTTTTAAAAGCTGTTGCTGGTGAAAAGTTACCCCAACTTTGGGGTCAAATTTCTCGTTAATAAAAAAAGATATCAAAAATTCAAATAGTAAATTTGTGCCCACACTCAAGCTGAGTAGAATGAGCTATGTCTGAAGTGTTTTATCTTAAATTTGAAGAAAGAGATACATTTGGCGCGAAGCTATCCAAAAATAAGTTTTTGGGCTGTTGCTATGGCAACGGTGGGCCACAAAATTTTTTCAGATTTTTCCTAGTAACTAGGGTGAAGGTGTGACCTACCTGCCAAGTTTGAGCGAAATCGCCAAAAAAATCACAGAAGAAATAATACGCGAAAACACTGTAAATTACACGCACAACCACACACAAAACGATAAAAGTGATTATAAGGGCAATCCTAGCGGAGCGGATCGCTAAAAATCAAAATGAGGTAAAGCACATAGTAACATTGTTAACGCTGATTACTGTAAATACAGCTTTCAATCAGTTGAATTTTATTTTTATGCACAGTTTTTTGAGACTATGTCAAGGATCTAATTTGAAGGAGAAATAGAAAACATTATTAGTAGTATTACCTATATTTGCTATTTATGCTTGGAAAACAAGATACAGTGTAAATTGTATCAGCTTATTTTTGTAATGCTAGTAATGCTACCAGATTTGTTTTCCACAGGTATCTCAGAAAACAACGGGGCTATGGTGTTCGGATATCGGTACATGGTAAAAGATTTGTAATGCAGGCAAACCAGAGTTACAACAAGGAGAATTGTTATAGACCCTTATTCACCTTGTCATGCAATGTTTTACTCCCCATGGTCTCTCATGATGTGGCAAAACAATCTTAAAAACACAATCGAGGACCTTCTATTAACCAGAAAACCAATCATAAAATAAAAATAACTAATTATATTTAAGCTACTTGAAATTAAATGCAGTAATATTTTCAAGTTGTGTTATCATATTGAACACTGTTTCATAGATCATGTTAAATAGAATACGGTGTTT